ATGACTGAATATATCTAAAATAGTCAACTTTATATATATATATATATATATATATATATATATATATATATATATATATATATATATATATATATATATATATATATATAATATAATCTGTGATTGTTTAGATTTACCTGTACAAATGTAATTTGTCAGTTTTAACACACTGACAAATTGGGGGGTGAAGTTGAGGGTTTGCTAAAAGTCTGACTGCGCAACCTTAAAGTTTTGATCTATAAAAATTAAGGACATTTGTTATTTTAACTACTAACCTTCTCAATAGTCCAAGAGAAAGTTTAGAGGTGTCATAATGTATTAATCTACAGATTCTCTGCTTGTTTCTGCTGGCGCTTTCCCTGAAACAAAGCAGCAACTTGGCCTGCTTTGCCTTGCCTCTGCTTACAACTATACATCATTTTCTATCCACATGAGCCGCTAGTGTGTGTCAGATCTTATTTCAAGTCACCACGTGGTTTATACAACTCAGCAAAGTGGCTTGCATAACCTATACAACCTGACACGTAAAGGTATAAGCAACATCAACTACTACTACTGTGTGTGTCATCAATATTTAGTCTAGAACTTCTGGTATGTGTTTATTTTTGCATTTTGGTAGTTTAGTATATAACAGAATCCACTTATTGTAAAGACTTTTTTTTGTCATTTGCCAAAACATGTTTGCCCATGCTTTGCAAAAATTGTCACGATTTTCCTTGCACTAACTGTGCATTCGTAGCAAATCTGGGTCACAGTAAAGGTTCTCCTGTACTCCAAAAAATATTACATCACACACAGATGGCTCTTACGGTAACATAAGGGTTGTAGAAGTAAAGAGAGCCTGGTTACTCTGATCGTGGGAATTCACATTTGGAAAAGTTGGGTTGAAATGAATGCATGATGATCACTGTTAAGACTAAGTATGCAAATTAATGCACAGCTTAACTGGCAAGTAGACCAGAAAAGCTTTTCTTATGTCAGTTTAGAGACATTATAAACATGGCTACGCTAATTGAAATTCCCCTTTCAGTGGCTCCAAAAAAAAAAAAAAAAACAGACCATAACCTGGGAACTATGGTGAAAGCTCTTCACACACTCTAAGGTACAATGGCTCAATGAATGGATAATAAGGCTACAGCAGCCGTCTGGACAGACGGTCAGTGATCTCCCCGCAGGGAGAATGGAAGTTATTTTACAGCAGATTGCCTCACACTGCCCACACGAGCTAATTATACAGACTATTCATGCGCATCATGTATGGCAAAATTTTGTAATTGCAAAGTCTCTGTTCCTGTTCTAATGCGCTACATGATAAAGTGATGTAGATCTTGGTGTGTGTGTGTGTTTTTTTTTTTTTCCTCAATGTAATTTGTGTCTATTATGAAATGTATTTTTTTCAATGTGCTGAGTGCACCGTGCTCACTTTAGCTCTGCCCTATGCAACGTGTGAAAAGGATTTGTCTCGGAGCTGATCTCTTCAGTAAAATGAGATGAAAGTTATCAGAGTACCTCTGGGGGATTTATTTTCTTTGAAGTGAGGCAGGATCTTTGCGCATCGTGCATCTGATGTAGAGGTGAAAGAGGCCATGAATTTGATGAGTCTTGACATAAAGAGATGACTGTGAACTTTTTATGGCGGGCAAAAACAGGAATCGCCTGCCTGACAACACTCGTCTTCATTGCAAAAACAAGGTCAGTGTTTTCTTTCAGACCAGCTATCTAGACTTTACGGCTCTGCTGGAAAACTCTACTGCCATGTAAAAAAGGTTCTGAGGGTCTTTGCACAGGGAAGCACACTTCACAGTGTTGAAAGATGTGAAAGTGCATGCACTCTCAAGAACTTATTGGAAGTTTTTAGCCACTCGTTGCAGTTTTTATTTCTGTGGCACAGTTCAGCAAAGTCATGCCGTCTAAGTTTGCAAGCCTGGATATGACAAATGAGAGCTGATTGGAAATCCTGGAAGTCATTTATCCTTGTTTTTGTAGAACTAACTTTTTAAAAAAAAAAGTTTTAGCTTTTAGCTAAAACTGTTGGTTAACGAGCAACATCTAGGATGCCAATTAGGGTCTCAACTATCAAATATTTTAGTGAACTATTTAGTTCACTAAATAGTCTGGAATATTTTAATTCTTTTGATAATTATGTGCTCTTTCTGGCGTAGGTTGTCTATCAGGTCTTTATAACTTTTTTTTTTATCATCTACCTATCTAAACCTTAACTGTTTTCACTTGTTTAACTTTTGGCACATATTTGGTCACCTGTTTTATTTTTTATTTTTTCTCAGGAACTCTTCATAAGACATCTTGGTTCCTTAAAAATATTAATCGTGAGCTTTGACTTTGTCCAAAGCTGACTTATCAGAATGTTATAGGTATTTTATTCTCCTTTCTTATAGAGAAACAATATCCTTTTGACACTCTAAACAGTATAACGTACCACTATCACTGTAGAGGAAACTGTAGAAAGATGGGTCAAATCAGGTTACTTTTAATGTATTTCCAAAAGGAAAAAAAAAAGAAAAAAAAACCTCTCAAAGTTGCTAGAAGACTAAAGTAACTCAAAAAAGAGCTGTCACATCTCGTCTTTGTCCTTAAAGACATTTTTCTTATTTGAAAGGCGTCCTCAGTTCTGACTGTACGGCTTTCATGCTTGGGGGCTCTTTCACACCTTAAGAGTTGCAGAGGTCTTCTGGTGTGAAATGCACTAAAATAGATCCTAAAGGTAGAATTAAAATAGTTAGCTTGGAGACAACGAACACTCGCACAATTTTACACTTCAAACAGAATATCATTACATGAACCAGAAACGCAGTTGAAACTGTTGTCTTTAGTTGCTTTGCTTAACATTTAGCTTGAAGTTTAGGACCTGGTTTCCAAGGTAAGAGTTAAAACTGCGACTTCAGTGTGAAGTGACAGACTCTGCAGAGGTGTTTTGATTCCGTACCTGTAGTGGCAGTCGACAAGATTAGAGTGAAGATCTTGCGGCTTAAAAACGGGCATCAGGCACTAAGCTCAACGTGGGTGCAAGTAAGCAGGTCAGAGAAGTCAGCGGGAGAGTTGCGAGGACGGTTTTATCAAAGAGCATCTCTCTACCTTTGTCACGTACATGGTGGCTGGAGGGAACACTGAACTCTCTCAGCTGTGGGTGACCTCGGCAATCCTTTGCTGCGCTTCGGAAGACGGGTAATGGGAATTCTAAAAATAAGTGACGAGGTATACTTAAAAGATTTTTCTCACTTGAATTCAAGTCATTTAAGTAAACAATTCTGGGCGAAAATTGCCATGTGGGTTACCTCCGTGACCCGCTTTCAGACAAGCGAATGGTGGGATAGACGTTTTTCTTTTCAGATCTTTGGTGCAGATCGGGTAGAAAATGTCTCGATTGGATTGGAAAGTTTTTCTTTCCAGCCTTTTGTGACACGTTTTGTTCCATTTTTATCCGAGCACCCACGTACGGAAACATGGTGACACAGACCTGCCGTGTCCTCAGCTATTGTTTGCTTTAGCCGTGTCCATGCGGGTCCCTCCTGCTGAATCTGGCACAAGGCTGCGTTTTGTTCATATTGGCCCCATGTGTGGCTGCTTTGAGTGGTGGGAGTGTGAACAATTGTCCTCAGTCTTGACAGATTTGTTTGTTTTTTTTTTTTGTTTTTTTTCCTGCTGAATGTTTTGCCAAATTGGACTGCATGTGAAGGGATTATCGAGGCATCAAGTGAGATTATCAGTTGATATTGATTGCATTAAACATTGGCAATGTAGCTATTAATATTGTTTTCTGCTGTTACACCAATAGTTGGCTCTAACTAGTAAATCTAGCCGACGGCTTCCCTGTAAATATATGCAATATCTGTCTTTTTTATTTTTTTTTCTGTGGAAAGTTTGCTTTTCTGCGTTTGTGCGTTCGTCATTGGTCAATACATTTACACAAATTTTGGACAAAATACTTAAGAGGACATGACAGATTTTATTCTAAGTTGAGATGCAACCATTAATTTTATTTCTTATAAGTTTATATAATCTTATTATAAGCCAAAAGATGACTCCAGCATTACCAGAATAAGTTTCCCAGATTTAAATCCATGAAGAATAACTTAAAGCAGGTATGACTGTTTTGTGCAATCATGCTTGACTAATTTCAATTTGGTTTTCATTCCAAGTGCTTTAGCAAAATGGTACCTTAACTCCACACATACAGTTCATAAATCTCATACTGTTTTATTGAATGGCTAATCGGTTTTTAACTATCCAGGTCATATTTAGAGAAGTTCAAAGCTATGTTTTAAGATATAGATTGCCAAATGTAGTCATATCTCATTACAGAAAAAAAGTGATGCCCCCTTTTACTTTAGCGCTGTTGGGAAACTATAAAGCAAATGAAATTTTTGTTTTATTTTAATGTTGATTAGTCAGCCATAATATTCTTGCATGTAAATTGTAAGTTTCCTGTTTCTTGGTGTGTTTGTCCTTATTACCACCAGCTAGCATGCAGTGTGCAGCGACAGGTGTGTGTCTGTGTTGGAATCAACTCGAGTCCATCCTCTAAGAAATCTGACACCTTATCGGGACTTTAAGCAGTAGAAACGGTGTACTGGAAACAGAGCAGGCGATTTTCAAATGATGGACAAAGCCCACTCGGCACACAGAATAGATGAAGAAATCACACCCATAGACTGAGGCAACACAACGTAATCACTATCCCAATATGCTGCTCTATATTTAAAGGCAACCTTAAACAAAAATGATCGAGGTAGCAGTATCAGCTTGAAGAAAGAAAGAAATCTTGCAGTATCCAGAAAACATTTGTTTTTCCTCCAGACTCGGACAATGCGAGGTCAATTACAAAAGTATTCTCTTAATCCCAGATACTGTAACAATGCACTGCTGTTTTGAGATATTTATTCAAACACACAGCTTAGTCATTTGGTGTTAGTTTTTATTTTTTTTTATTAAACAAAATCAACTCTTCCCACGTATTTTGTAGTGTGAAATGTCATCCCCCCCCCCCCATGTATTCTCACAGTACAATCAGTTAATGTTGATCTGAAAGAAAACATCTTTAAACTTGGCACTTAGAAAACAACCACAAAGAATTGTCACCTTTATTCATTGAGAACAAAATTTACAAAGCCATTCGAACAGTCGTTTTTTCCCCCCCCCACCCCCAATCTTTTAGTTTTTTTTTTTTTTTAAACTCAACTGTGAAGAATATTCAAAATACACTTTTTAATGTTGCTTTTTATTTGTACTTACAAATATCTACAGTAAAGTCTTTAGAGTCCTGTCGTGTGTTCGTCTCAACTTGTAATAAAAATCCTTTGCAGTGTTTATTTATATCTCCTCGTACTGTAGGCACTCCAGTTAGCTCTGGACTCTTCTGTTTGAGCTCGAGTGTTTGTGAGCGATCATCATGCTCAAATAGACGTCCCGTGGCTGGGCTCTCTGGCTTCTGGGATGGGTCCTCCTGGCACTGGTTGGTAGGACAATGGCATGGGTGTCTTGACTGGGCTCTGCCGGAAGAGACCCCCGTTGGGTGCTCTGTGTTTGCACCGGATGGAGGGCATCGTGGCACTGCTAAGCGGCAGGGGCAAGGTCCTGCCAGCGGCTGCTCCCAGTGTCCTTCCTGCCCCGTGGCTCTCCCGCAGGAAGGTGGTCACGGACAGAGGCGGGGGCCCGCGGTGTGATGGGTAGTCTCGAACAGACAAGGCCTCCAGAGATTGACTGGGCTGGATGCTGCCGATGTCAAGGGCGGAGATCTCGATTGACTGACCTGGCAGCTGCTTGTGGGCGAGATCCTCGTCCAGGAGGCTGTTCAAACGCTGGTGGACCTGTTCCAGGTTCACCTCTTTGTCCTAAAGATGGATGAAAGGGAGGGCGGTGCCAAAGAGTGGATGAAGAATAAAAGGAAGAATTGCGTATGGAGGATTTATTGGAACAGAAAGAGCAGGGGTGTTATGATAAATGAAAGCGAAAATAAATGCCAAGTTGGGGGGGAATGTTGGGGGAAAGGAAATGAAAATGCAGAATGAAAAGAGATTTGTTACAGCAGGCCTCGTTTTCAATTTTACTTCTAAATACATGTAATGCACTCTATCCCACCAGCATTAAGAACATGCATTGTCCATGCGAGTTTGAGAGATGCTGAAATACGTCTATTCCAGCTTTTCTACATAGACTTTTTTACTTTGATATTCAAGTCAATATTCTGAGTTTTCAATAATAAAACTCAGTTACTGTCACAAAATACCTCCAATTTGAGTTGGACTTAAATGTGTTGCTTTATGCATCGGGCTTTAATTTGCTTTGCATAATTGCTTGACCGTGAGGCGAGACGCGTCCACAGTCGGACTCATCTGGTCACAACACTGATTCCAATGCAACACATAAATGCAGAGACACATTTAAACATTTAAATAAGGTAACTTAATATTCATTTCTTGGTAGGAGTGTGATGATGCATCTAGCTTACAAGATGATGCATGATGTCGGTCTCATGGGAGCTAGACAAGAGTTTAGCAATACTAGGGTAGATAGTAAAATAATAATTAAAAAAAATGTTTTAAAGACGTTTTCATAGGTTTGACTGGTTTTTATTTTTAGCCTGGCCATTGCTTTCCTATGCAATTATGCTCTATTATTTCTCTTCACTGCTTTTCTGGGCTTTCTGCCATTGAAGTAGATTTTTCTGGTAGAATTTCAACAGGGCCAATTAGTGAAAACAAGAAGTTATGAACAATGATATAAAATTTCTTTCTTTCTAGCAATCATCCAATTTGATCATTCTTCTAATTTCAGATTTTGACTGAAAGGAACAAATGTAATCTTCTACTGGAATCTTTAATATGGCTCTATTTAGCACCAAGTACCAAAGCAACTTTGGTTAGCCAGTTGTGAAAACCTCTAGCCACTGCAAATGACTAACTTTTCTCACTTAGTCAGCCTCTATTCAAGTGCTGAAAATGCTACAAAGCAAGCAAAAAAAATAAACATTTATGGCTTTATGAGTGTTTTTGCTCAGCCTAAGGAGTTGTTTGTTTTTTAGCGGCCAATCAACACAAAGAGGCAGATTAATAATTGCTGTACAGGATGAAGCATATTTCACCATCTGGGGATGAAAGCAGCTGGATAGCAGTTTGCAAAACAAACTTAACTTTGGTAAGAAATTTCGTTATGTTTTGAGATTAAATGATCTTGTGCCAGCAGATTTCACCACACCCCTCTAATAATAATAATTATATATATATATATATATATATATATATATATATATATATATATATATTTATATAAACTTTTGTTTTTAAAATGGCTTTCAAATACCTATTAGTTGGGAGATGAAGCCAAACAACGAATGCGACTGAGAGACATTAACCAATAAATGTTTTCATGCTTCATTTTCTTTTTTTTTCCTATTCATGCACCCATCTAAATCAAACAAAACAAGACGGTCAGACACGGGACAGACTATGAGATGAAATAATGGATGATGTGCACCCCTGCCCAGGCCCCTGCCCTGCCCTAATTCCCTGTAGCGACCAATTGACTAAAAACAATCAGATTGGCATTTTGGGTCGTTCTTTAAGTTATTCAAAACTCTCAGCCTCCTCTACTATCGTCACGACATATCACTAAACAAAAAAGAAGTTTGACATTTTCAGAAAAGAGTGATGATGAGACTGTGTCCACACTGACTAGTAACCAATTGGGAAAAAAATCAAACACACATGATCGCACTGCGATTGTGCATCCCATCTAATGCTTTTTACAAGCATTATGATCTTAAAACACCAGAAGGTGGGTCTATCCTCAATAAAAAATGTAATGGCCTTAATATTATAAAATTGAGAAACGTTTTTTGAAAAAAAAAAAAAAAAAACCTGACTTCCTACATCTCTGGTTCTATCCAGAGCTCAAATATCTCACTGGCAAATCTTCAGCTTTGTTGTATTTACAATACCTCTGTCCTTTGTAAGGACTTTGCTCTTTGTGCAGTTCATACTCTAAAAAATGTTGTCAGTTTCAGGAGGACCTAGTGAAACTCCTACTGTATGGAAGTATGTCAGCCACACCCCGATCCAGATGCACAACTAATTTTAACAATTTTCCCCATATTTTTGTGTTCAAGAATAATGCTCTGTTCTTTTTGTATTATTTTGACTGAATCTTGGAGAAATCTCTAGTGAGTGAGTTAGGTTTAGTACTGACGAAATGTGCTATTTAGTTGTACTTTAAAGCTTTTTTGCATTTTAAAATTTCAAAAGTTGCAGACATCTTGGGATAGTGTTGAGTTAATTTATCTCTACTTTCTTTTCAATGATCGGCTCAGAGGCAAAAACATTGCCAAGCGTCATTAAAAGGTTAACATTCAGTCATACGGTAAATGTAAAGGAGCGAAAAAAAGGTTTGCTGCTCTTGAGGTATGGAATTTATTTTGCAGGTAAGATTGCTAAGGGGATAATTTTTAGGATGAAAGCATAAAACTAAGCTATAGCTCTAACTGAGTCACAGTCAGTCTTGATCCTGACATAAATCTCCAGTAGCATCTCATTTCACAGATTATTAGTGCTCTGGATCTTTTCCTTTCCTGTCCAAGTAATGCCAGGTATATATATATAAAAAAAAAAAAATTAAAACCATTTTCAGTGACGTCAAACCATTTGGCTGATCCCTTTAAATTGTTTTGTAGGTTTTCATTTAAAACAGCTTTCACTGTTCCTACACACTATGCATGGAGCCACCAATAAATCTGAACTGATATCCAAACCAAATCCTTTGAATACAATATGCTCATTCTCTGCAGGTTTGAAAAAAATAATCTGTATGAAATTGTTCTGAGGAACAATATCCCTAAATAAGACAGTCGCTCTGCATTTTTTTTCCCCATATGTCCGTTTTGAACAAACAGTTTTGCAATCCTTATGGAAATTAAAAGAAACCAAAGGGTAAAAAATGATCCATAACTAATATCTTTAAAGTGACACACACACACACACACACACCCCCCCCCCCACCCCACCACCAACACAACCCCACAACACCAAACAACACAAAAACAACA